AAAACTTTTACAAGGCCTGAGCTTCGCCTTCAAGAGTAGGACGTGACAGCGTAATCGAGCTCCATTCGCTCCCCATTCTCAATCGTTATCCTGTCTTCGCCTCACTGAGGTGCGCACCTCAGGCCCATGCCGTATCTATGCAGTATCATTGGTCGTTTGTGTCGCCCAGAATGCACGCCTACCTTAAACGCCGTTACGTACGGAGTGCACACTACAGCATATCAGGGTGTCTAGGAACTCTATAAAACTTCCACTCATTGCACAATTTGCGCAATGTGGCACCAGGTGCAGTTCTACTTTTTTGGCGTGCGACATTACGTGTGTTAACGGGACTCCTGGCACAAGTCGAAGTCTGTGTGGGGCTGTTTTTAGAAGCAGTTTCAAGCACAAGAGTGGCTCTGTATAAAAAAACCCCACATTCACGCAGAAGGCCTGAGTTCGATTCCTCCTTGATTAGAATATTTTTCGAATTTATGTACATCTGTCTCAATTTATTGCTCATGCCCAACGCCAATTTTACATTCACAACCAAGACCACCGACGCTAGCACCAGAACACGGGCTCTTTGATGCTCAATAACACAATGACTCTTTGTGTCAATAAAACACATTGGGTAGGCCTTGAAGGGGAGACTCACGTAGAGAGACATTTCTTGTGTTTGTACCGTGGAGGAGTAACAAACGCTTGCTCTAAAAATGAAGCATTGGTTTGAAAACAATAGGAGGGAATACCTAAAGAAAATGCGCTTCCGAGTGAGAAGAGGTTTGGGAAGGAAGTGCACATAAGCGTAAAATTGCAGAGTGGCAACAGAAAAAATCGCTACACCAAATTGCCAACCATTGTAGGAAAGAAGCGTACACTTGCCAAAGGGATGTTGAATCTAAGCGACGTTTCTGGATCCCTAGTGTGTTCTACTCAACCGCTGTCGATTAAACAATCTTTTGGGATGCACAGGACAGTTGAACGATTTCGCATTGGCTGCGCAAATCGTTCATGAACCAGTTTGAGGTTGTCATAGCCGTAGGACAGTCGAGACGTCATTCAGATATTTTACGTGACCTTCATTTGACGTGCGTTTGTTTCTTTCCCACAATCACTTTCCTAGTATGGGATCTGCGTGAAGCTTCCGTGCGCATATTACAACCCCTAACTTGAAGCCTAACGCGAGTAGGATATCCTCCCTCGCCATCTCTCAGCATCTGCCCCTTTAGGACGAGACAATTAATGTGCTTTATCTCTCTCCTCCTCGACACTCTAGTTTTTTCCAAACTATTGACTAAGTTGCAACACAGATATGAGAGAAAGAGAAAATTAGAAGCAGACAGATAAAAAGAAAAAAAAACTGCAAAAGATCAGATAATTGCTAAAACGAATAAAACAACACTGCTATGTGTTCGAGTTCTTGGAGCGGTTTGTAGTATTATTCAACCGACACACCCTATATCATTTTAATGTGCTTTTCCTCATAAAAGTACCAAGAAATGTGTGCTGAAATTCATCGTTTCAACTAGGCTGGCTAGCAGTTCAAGTTTTGATAAAATGTGGTATGTTGATTCAAAATATTTCTGACCATGTTAATTATTTGCGAGGTTAATTTAGTACGTAATCATTACACTTGCTTCAAACGTATATAATTGCTACATGTATGTTTTTTTGTATTTCCATGTGGCCGTCTAGTTATACGTGAAACCACTTCGTTGCGCGTGTGGCACCGGAATGTCTGGGGCACCTTCCCGATAATTCTAGAATCTTGCGATAACATTGCACGCACAACATTGCAGTTTCTTTCGGAATTAACACGCACGCCAGTGATAACGGCGGAAGATTTGATGCCGCATTATCGCTTATATCAGATTGTCAATGAACGACTATTGTAATCTATGCTATAGTTGCACCGAGAGAGTCCGTTTCTTTTTGAGCGCAAGTCAGCGCAATTAATGGGTTTCATGTTTAACCACTAAAGCTTGCGTTCATGACCGTCTCGACCACGGGACAATATGTTCAGAACCTTGACTAATTGTTCAGGTTCATATTTACGGGGAAACAAACAAACAAACAAACAAACAAACAAACAAACAAACAAACAAACAAACAAACAAACAAACAAACAAACAAACAAACAAACAAACAGACAGACAGACAGACAGACAGACAGACAGACTGACAGACAGACAGACAGACAGACAGATAGACAGACAGACAGAGGAATGGACATGGACGGACGGACAGACAAGCACACAAACAAAGAGAGTACAGTTAGCTAGCCATTGACGAACAAACAAAACACAGCTAGCCCGTTCGTAGTCTTTCTCGGCACATAAAAAGTCTGGTCGGGCTTTTTCTTTTTTGAAAGAAAGTGAACAAAAGGAAGCCCTGGAGAGAGAGGTATGCTGCAAAAAAGACTGGACAGCCAATGGAAGAGGCTTTTAGATGGCTTCGTCGATCTTCGCAGCGCGTCACGGGGCTCCCAAGCTCCTCTTGCACTTCTTGCGACCGCGTTTTTGAAGCCGCGGTGCGCGGAAGCTGAGCCGAATGCCGCCTCGTCTTCTCGACCCCCAAGCGCGAGTGCAAAGACCGGATCAAAAGCGTGCAGCTTACCGCACTTCTAAACCTCCCCACCTCTTTCTCATCTCTCCCATCGCTTTGGAGAGGGAGAGAAGTTTGTAGGAGGTCGTCGAAAAGCGCGTCGCTAGAACGTCGTCTCGTTGGCGGCAACTACTATTTTATTTATCATCTGTCGGTCTTGCTCGCCTTCCTTTTTTCCCCTTTTTTTCGTTATTATGGAGGCTACGTTTTGGAAACAACTCCTTCTTTATCCTTTATTTGTTTCCCCAATTTTTCCCCAAGTTTCAGTCAACGTCAGCTTCCTCGCTTTTCGTTCTTCGTTTTTTCTCTCGATCTCTCATAATTTTTAATTCCGAGAACTTTCTCTTTTCCATTACGACAGTAGGCGGGCTATTGCATTCCGCGCACATTTCATTCCAAAAGCCCGTCCCTCGCCTTCGCTCTCTTTCGCGACTTCTTTCGGGCTTCTCGCCGCGCTTCCAAAACCTTTATACTTGCCTTCTTTTTACCGATGGTGCTTGCGACTCAAGCTTTTTTTACCCTCGTTGTCGCTATAGCTTTCATTTCATCCCTAGAAGCGCTTTATATACGCTTTTTTTTTCGTAGACGAGTATTGGAAATGGCACAGGGGGGATTTCAGCAAAGTGGCGTGATGGCAAAAAAAAGGCGCCCTCTTTTCCTCTCTCATGACATGCGGTACAAGCGACACGTTGTAAGAATGACGAAGCGAGAAAAGGCGACGACTCAGACTGGCAAAAAGTCGAGGGGAAGGGGAAAGAAGAGGGAGGGGTAGCTAGATGGATGGGTGAATGAATTGTGCAGCGTTTTTCGATGCGGGTCCTGGCTGAGAACGAGTGACATGTATTAAAACCGCGGTGTCACAACAGCGTTCCTTCTCTCCCCAAACCTTCTCTTCTTGGAGCTTCTAAAACCACGCGTCAAGGGATCACTCGACGACTTGATGGCTTCTGCTGCGATTCTTTCAGTTCTTTCCTTCAAATGTTTTTTTTTTTAGCTTGTAAGCGAAGAAGGAGCGTTGTAAGTTGTGCGATTACGCACGTACGGACGTAAGTGGTCCGTACGTACGTAATTCTTCGAGGAGAGAAAAATGGCGAAGGAGCCTGCTTCTACGTATGTGTTACGCACGTGACATTGGCGAAGTATCTCTTTGCATAAGCGATCCGAGGATGACTGCTGTACCAGTCCGCTAAGTGTATACTTCCCACCAAATGCTCTGCCACTCCGAGCCGCCTTCATCTTTTAGCATGGCGCTTGTGCGCTGGTAGATCTGTGCATCGTAGGTTGAACGGCATGGATCTTCCTCATCATTATCGTGAAAAAAAAAAACAGGTCTCTTCCGTCTTTTTCTAAATAATCTGTTTCTATGCTTGCGGTAGCCATGTGATGCTCGATAAGTTCCTAATGTCGTCTGCGCACTTTAGCCTTTTCCCTCCCCTCCGCGCACTTGGCTTCCCTTGGAGTCACGTCAGTTACCCTCAATGACCAGTGGTTTTCATGCCTACGTGCTATATTCTCTGGCCATGCCGGTTTATTCGTCTTGATGTTTGCTGGGATGTCTTCAACATTTGTTTGGTCCCTGACCCACTGTGCTCTATTCTTTTAGATGCGGAGCATCTTATACTCGCGCCTTGTAGTGCGCCGTCCGCGCCGTCCGCGCCGTCCGCACCGCTTCTCAAACATTCGACAGCTGACGCGCGCGCATGCGCCGTCGCGCCGTCGCCCACTCTTCCACCATCTGTGCATCCCTTCCTCCTCTACACACCGCGCGCGCTTCACTCCTCCACCATCTGTGCACCCTTCCTCCTCTACACACCGCGTTCGACATCTACAATTCTCCTGATTCTCCAGTGGACGCGCATGTGGCGTCGCGCTTCGAGAACATTCAACAGCTGACAGTGCATGCGCCGTCGTGCTGTATATATACTCAAGGTCGGCGCTCGCTCGCTCAGTTGCCGCTCGTCGGTTGGTTTGTACGGCGCGTCGACGTCCAAGGTCGCGGTGAAATGAATTCCAACGAATCCACAAACACAATGATCGACGTCCCTTCGACCAGCGCCGCCCTTTCGCATACGTGTGTACGTGTTCACTCATTTAACACCCCCTCCTACAACCACGTTAACCAATTTAGCCATCGACCCAAGTAAGTCGCAATTTAACACCCCATTTCACAACCACGTTAACCAATTTAGCCATCGACCCAAGTAAGTCGCACTTTAACACCCCGTTAACCAATTATATGCTCCGCATCCTCCTCAGTGTTCCCCCGAGGGAAGCTGCGGGCAATTTTTTTTTCCTTTGAAGTTAAACCCAGCATTTTATCTTACCATGGCTCACTACGTCCTTAAGTAGGGCTTTTTTTTCGAAACCTCTTCGACACATGCACGTATTCGCGGACTTGTATGAAGATTACTCACCGTGGGTGCCGTCTGAGTGACTTGTCCGAGGCTGTTCTCGATGTAGATGAGCTCCGCCTGGGTGATGGTCGGATGCCTGCTGGGTTTCTCGAAAGAGAGCCACAGCCAGAAGACGTACCAGATGGCGCCGAACACGCCTGCAATATTTATCGAGATCGATTGATTGAATAAATGAATGAATAAACAAATTTTATATAAAGTCGGACAGTTTCCTTCGGATGATGGCGGTTTCAATGTCAGGACAACGATAAGATGATGTGGCAAACCTTGAAAGAGTGTTCCGAAAACTTAAGCCAGGTTCGTTAACGTGCGCCTAAATCTAAGTACAAGGAATTCTTATCATTACAAGTGGAGCGGCAATCGTTTCCGCTCCACTGAAGTCAAAACCACGTCGTTCTGGTAAGCGGGGATTGGAGGAGCCCAGCCTTCAAGACAGGTACACAAGACAAGTTTTGAAGACCACACTCGCTGGGACTTGCTACAGCCTAATGAAATGAGAGCTACTGTATAGAAAAACCAAGACGCACATGCATCATACACGATAACTCAGGTGAAAACGATGGGCATGTGAAAAAACTAAGCATGACCGAAGCGCCCATAAGCTTCAAAACCATGAAGGTAAAAACTGAGCGCATGGCACATTTTAATTACGTAGCCGAAACCAAAAGGAAGAAGTTTACAACAAAAAAAAAAAGTGAGAGAAATAGAGAGAGAGAGAGAGAGTGAGAGAGAGAGAGATGGCACGTCACACACCCGAGAGAATGAAGACCATAGGTTAGCGGAAGTGACCCTTTATATGCACAAGGCTTGAAGCAATGTAAAAAAAAAGACCTGCCACGAGGCGTGAAGTAGGAGCGATGTTGTCGGCGTCATGTAGTCTGTGACGTCTTTGTGCTAACACTCAAGACTGAACATCTGAGGGCTTTCGTGCCACTCGCCATTCTGCGAAATTCAACGACTGCGTCACGAATGTAGTGTATCGCATACCACTTTTCTTGGTAGGTGGTACACAGGACAGCTATGCGCAGTGTGAACACCCGATAAAAAGAAAAAAAAAACACGTGGTGCATCAGTCACTTCAGGAGGAAGCGCTAACTTGTCTGCTCATTGCGGCGCGTGTAAGCTATTTTAACGACACCGAGATGATTGGTAGCGGAGCCAGGAAATGTGAAAGATAAATAATTGATGTGCTCATGGCCGGTTGTAAGCTTGTTACACGATAAGAGGTGACCTTCTTAGGAGAACGTAATTAGTAAGTGTCCTGACGCTGAGTTTCTATTTGCATATATTAAGGCGCATGGACGTTGATTGATATGTGGGGTTTAACGTCCCAAAACCACAATATGATTATGAGACGCCGTAGTGGAGGGCTCCAGAAACTTCGTCCACCTGGGGTTTTTTAACGTGCACCCAAATCTGAGCACACGGGCCTACATTTCAGCTTCCATCAAAAATGCAGCCACCACAGCCGGGATTCGAACCCGCGACCTGCCGGTCAGCAGCCGAGTACCTTAGCCCCTATAGACCACCGCGGCGGGGCAAGGCGCACGGACGTTTTGGTCGTGCTTAATTTTTCACAGCGCCTCAATTGCATTACGCAACTATGCGAACGGTCGTGTCTCCCGAGAGGCGCTGCGAATCCTAATGACTAACGAAGACAAAATTCGGGAAAAAAATGACACTTTCGTCATATGGACCCCCGCTCACACACAAACCCCGCTGGCCGGCAACGAGGCGGCGCACGCGGCGGCTCGAGCACTCACGAACCGAGCCGTTGCGAACGCCGACGCCGCCTCGGACGAAGTTCCACGCGGGGGGGAGTGGGAGTGGGGGGACCGCATGACTAGTTACCACGAAATAACGCAGCACTATAAGCTAGAAAGGCGAAAGTACCCTCCGCCACACAACAGGTTAAATAAAAAACAGGCAGTTGCGTGGCGACAACTGCAAACATATACTTATCCGAATCCAGTTCTCTTTAGTCTCTGTTACCCTGATCTGTATTTAACAGAAAAATGCAAGGTTTGCGATGAAAGGGCGACACTTTCACATATACTATGGGAATGCTCGAGTTTAGATGAAAGCAACGATGAAATCACATTTACGTTATCATTTACGGTGCATGTGCATCTTGGTTTTTCTTTCAAGTAGCTGTTGTTTCACGAAATTGTTGCTAGTTCTATTGTGTGTGATCGTCAAAACTTCTCGTCTTGAGTATGGTTGAGCGCAATTTGAAGGTTATCACGTGGGTATCGATTAAGAACGACAACAGCGCCACGTTCCAGAATATTTTTTTGGAAGAAGGTGGTATCACGCAAGCGTCACTCACCGTTGTGCTGTTCCTTGAGCAGCGATCACTCCCTTCTGAGGAAGGTGTCTAAATTTAACTGCCGATCAGCAGCTTTAACACATTCCTCCCCAGCAATCTTGTAATCGCCCACGAATGTAAGGCTCAAAATAGAAAGGGTGGGTGTAGAGTTCTTCGCAGGCGTGATCGTTGTAGCATGTAACAACCAAGGAGGGAGAGAAGAATGCACACTCTTGATTTGGCTGTTTCCGGCGGAAAGTTCCGCTAGGACTCTGGGAAAGTTAGGCAGCTCGACGCTCGCGCGAAAGAATTCATGTAGCGCGCAATTGTACGTGTCTTGAAGGCTGCAAAGATTCATCGATTTTCCAGGCTATGTATACCAACAGGCGGAACAGCCGACCCTTCTCTGCATGGTAAGTAGCTTAAAAGCTTAACCACTATACTAACCAGGCGGCTCTATAGTGAAGAGTTTAGTTAACCAAGCGTATCAAGCTTGAAATTGCGGACAGTGCTAACTCGCAAGCGGTGCTTGGTCTCTAAACTTAATCCTATAGTTTGATGCCTTCACTGATTCGTCGGAGGTCACTGCAATGCGTACTTGAGCGACTAAACTGCGAACCGACGTGGCACTTTGCTTGTTGGTCTTGCTTTTCCGTTTGAGGATACGACAAACCTGTATCCGTTACGCATTTTACTGTCCGTTCATCCACGCCTTTGCCAACGCGGACACCTACCGTAGAAATAGAAGCAGGCTTGCCATCCTACGTAGTCGGTTAGGATGCCCGATAGGGGCATACCGACCACGGCACCGGCGTACGAGCCTGTGTAATGAAGAAAGGTTAAATCAATTAACAAGAATAATGAACCTGACATAAGAGACACTACTAAGTTCATTATGAAAATATTGCAATATCTCTAAGGCAAATAAAAACTAATACAGAAAAACAAAATATCTTGACAAATGTATCGACAGTTAACTTGAAAAGTTATAAAGAGTTGCTCGGTTTCTGAACGAAGTAACTCTTGATCGATTCTGAAAATATTTCCAGGGACTGCTTTAAGCTCTCCCATAGTAGAGTACCTCGTGATCTAAACCTTTACCCACTCTTTCTGAACACAGGTTAATGAAATGCGTCGTGCTATTACTCGTTTCTTATTGTTGCTCACAACGTTCCTTACTTACGCTCTGACATTTCGAAGCGGCCTTATTCACGTTTGACCGCTTAAACGCAGTCTTCGGTAGAAAGGACATTTGAAAATCTATCAACACAGTTTCGCTCAATGTCTCGCCAGAATTTCGAATGTAACTGAAGGGAAGACAGGGAGAAGGAAAATAAACACAAAGGAAGGAAACACGTTGCTCACCGCAGAAAGCTAGCGTTGCCAGCCGACTCCTCTCCAGGGGCGGCGCCCAATGTCTCCAGATACCGTGGCACGCCGGATACGTCACGCCCTGCGCAGGCACGTCACGCCACGTCACAAGAGGAGAGAGAGAGTATGCTACAATGAGTCAAGTTATCTATCGGAAATTGTTCCTGAAGACAAGGGGGAAGGCCGATTAGGATTAGGTTGTAGGTTGTCCGCGGATCTAACCTTGCGGAATTTGCAGGCAACTGCCCCGCCCGGTTTTCTCTTTTCAGAGCGTATCGAAATAATGTCCTTCTCAAAGCGAGATTGGGCATGCTCTTGGAAAGTTGCGTGCAACGGGAACCCTGCTTCAGCTGGTATAGCTATTTAAGTTCGTGTGCAATGCCTTCGTATACTAAAGACATTACAGAAATTCCCCTTCCTCACGAGATTTCGTTTCAGTCAATACATCTGTGTGCGAGGATGCTTTTTTGGTCTTGGATAGTTCAAAAGAAATCACGCTTGAAAGAGTTTAAAGGGTTCCTTAAAACACTCCCAGTTCAAGGACAAGACAACGATGATCAAAACTTTTATTACTCCCAAAAAAGGGGGACCGGCCGAGAGGTCGGTTACCTTGCTTAGAGGATGTCAGCGGGCATTCCTTGGGACACCGCGGTCTCCAATGCGCGTGAGATTACCCGGCGTTGCTGTGCCGAGTCAGTGATATGTAGAAGGGATTCCCATGTATCTTCTGTAGTGAGAAGCGTCAGACCTATGGTTTCCTGTCTCGCCTTTTCTACAGCTGCAATCTTTTCCCCGCCGCTTAATAAAAAATAATAATGAAGTGGTCAACGTCAACAGTTGAGCCTACCAGAATTTAGCGCTCTTCAGTCAGTCGCTGTTATCTCCACTTGCAAAATCAAAAACGCACAATGCCTAAGGGAAATCAGTTGACCACACGCCATATTCAAGCGAGGCGGTAGAACGAACATGCGAAATAATGGCAAAGCAGGGTGAAAGATAACTCCTAACTTATAGTCTTCGTATACGGCGCAATAGCGAGTGTAGTTTCGCCATGACGTCACGTGAACAGACTGCTGGCGTCATGTATTGTACGGCTAAGACAGGGCACTCCACGAGAGAATAACGTTATCGTTTGTATTTTCACAGGTTGTTTAGAGGCCTTTCAAGTGCGACTGCTAATAGAACAACTTATTGACGAGTGGTCGAACTTGAGCTGACGTGGTATTTTTTTTTTACCATTCTTTGCCAGGTAACAGTGCTAGGCACATATTTCGCGCTGCACGTTGTATTCGTAGCCACTATCTCCTTTCTCTTTCGGCAAAGGGGCCCTTCTTCATTTCTGCCGGTTCTCAATGGGTTCTTGAGAGAGAGAATAAACTTTATTGAAGAATTAAAATTACGTGTATAATCCCGGGTGGAGCCCTCTTGTAGAGCCCCACTGGCCACAGCGGCTCGCCGGGCCTGGTCTAGGGTCACCAGTTGGCTCCCCAGTGCCAGCTCGGAAAGCCGCGCCTCCCAAGACCACGTTGTGAGTGTTTGTAGTGAGCGCACCAACCTAGATATTGCATTGGCTGGCCGCTCGGTACATTGGTAGGTTATGTGTGTAAGTGTGGCTGTGTGGTTACTACACCATGGGCATACCCCTGTTGTGTATATCTGTGGAAAAATTGCGTGTAGTTTTGGGTTCTTGATGGGTTCTTGACACATCCATGACTGAGGGCCACTGGTCTATTTAACCAACAAATGTGCTATGATTAATCACAACTCATAAATGTAGCCCGTCATACAAATCTTCACACCCGTGTCAATCGGCTTGCGACGAATGATTCTGTTGGGAAGGTCATACCTCCGTGATTGGCCGATCAAGTACTGCAATGGTTTCGCATCAAAAGCAACGAATGCGCGTTCAGGTTAATAGGGAAAGATGCGGCAGTGCTATCCCAGGAACGACCCGTCGGTATCTTCGATGAATAACGGCTCGTCGACCGAAACTCGACTGGGGCTCCGATGCTTATTTGCGCGATTACGCAAACATCTAGATACATCGCTGTTGGCCCTCGCATCGCATGCCTCCTTATGCGCGTTATTGGTAGCTCCCCTGTCTTCTTCTTCGCCCGGAAACAGCCATTTTCCCTGATGCGATCGGCCGTCGTATATGGTACGTTCTTCGTGCGACCTCCGCCACAGAGACGACGGTGGGGCAGTCGAGCAAACGAGGAAGGAGGGGGTGCTAGCGGAAGTTCGGCGACGGAAGTTTGGGGAGGGTGGGAGGTTCGGAAGAAGGCACGCGGTTGGGTCATCGCGCGACTGGCGGTGCAGTCTACGCTGATTGCCACGGGCATCCATATCGTCGACGTAAGACGGTGACGGGGGAACACGCGACGCGGTAGTGTTCGCAGAAGCGATATGATTGCATCGCGTCGGCCCCGCACTCTCTGGCGGGAGCTTGTACCACGTACTGCATTCGGTCTCACCTACTGCACTTCGGTGCAGCGCGGGAAAAGTCACCGCTCATGTTTCCCAACGAACTATACGTAGTCGCAGCAGAACGGCTTCGTTCAATGCTAGATATTAATGCTATCGGTGATCTTTCCGTTCAGTACACAGTCGAGCACGAGGTGTAACGGGAGAATACGAAGGACAAGTTGGCTAGGTTTCTTGATCCCTGATTTTGACGACGTAACTCGTAGCCTTCACCGTACTGCATGTACTTAGTGCGCGCGGTCGCTTCTTTTGCCTCGCTTGAAAGCGTCTCTCGCAAGGCGCTTGGCTGTGCCGTGGAATTCTTCTTCCTGTCTCTTTGGGCCTCTGAGTAATTGCATCTGCAAGCGTGGTCACCACCAATGCTTCTGAAGATCGCTTCGGAGATGAGCAGTGCATGCGGCGCTTTCTTTCTTTCTTTCTTTCTTTCTTTCTTTCTTTCTTTCTTTCTTTCTTTCTTTCTTTCTTTCTTTCTTTCTTTCTTTTCTTTCTTTCTTTCTTTACTTTTCTTCTTTCTTTTCTTTCGTTTTTCTTTCTTTCTTTCTTTCTTTCTTTCTTTTCTTTCCTTCTTTCTGTTCTCTTCTTTCCTTCTTTCTTTCTTTCTTCTTTCTTCTTTCTTTCTTCTTTCTTTCTTTCTTTCTTTCTTTCCTTCTTTTCTTTCTTTCTTTCTTTTTTCTTTCTTTCTTTCTTTCTTCTTTCTTTCTTTTTTCTTTCTTTCTTTTTTCTTTCTTTTTTCTTTCTTTCTTTTCTATCTTCTCTTTCTTTCTTTTATTTCTTTCTTTCTTTCTTTCTTTCTTTCTTTCTTTCTTTTTTTTCTTTCTTTCTTTTTTCTTTCTTTCTTTCTTTCTTTCTTTCTTTCTTTCTTTCTTTCTTTCTTTCTTTCTTAGACCATCGTTGTTGTACTTAGCATCTCTCTGCGACAGTTCATAAGCACATTTACTCGTAAAATAAAGACACGAGATAAATGTAGTCTGAGCGATTATGTTTTATGCACTGCTAGGAACGGGCTTTTGTCAATGTGAGACGTTGAAAGCAATCCTAGTCAAAATAAAAAAGGAACTGGAGAAGATAGCAGCTTTTTAAAATGGATGGCTGAGTGACGCATTCCAGTTGGGATGCTGAAGTTCTTGGGGCAGCCCCGCCATCCGAGAAAGACTCTGAGCGGCCTGTGGCAATCCGCTCGCTTGTGCAAGCATTCGCCGCTTCGACAAAGCGTCAGTGTGGCTGCGAGGATTCATGAGTAAAAAAATGGGATTTTCCCGGTTTTTGCCCGCTGTGTCATCTCTGACAGCGCCAACAGGCCACGGCCCTGGGCCCACACTTTAAAGAAATTTCTGTTATTTACTTGGTACTGCGTAAATAGCTTATGCAGCGGGGACAAATATTTGCGAAGTATGTGTAAATATTCGTCACCCTCGTATTTGAAGCGTCGGTTTACGTAAGTTCGTAAGTTCAGAAGTATTACAGCGAAAGATGTGATGAGATCACAACAGCCGATTTTGGTGGTGTTCGTAACTGGTATTGCGATATATATATATATATATATATATATATATATATATATATATATATATATATATATATATATATATATATTAGACTACTTGGGGCTACTTCACAAAAGAGCTCTTGCAAGTGCTATGTCGAGTAAGGAATCATGTTTATATATGTAATTTAGCGTGGTAAAATAGTGAAACATCAACCAGGCGTCACACTATATGTAAATAGCGCAAAAAATTCATGGTTTGAAGCTTCCGACTTATTACAAAGTGCTCAGCTACAATTCTCAATTTTGATAAGCCATATCATCGACAATGTGCATATGCCATACATATGTGTAGCGGGTACCTCGCTTCTCCACAGAACGATAAGTTGTGGTAAAATGGGTGCTTGCCTACTCCACAAAACTATGATTCCTTATGACGTAGTGGGTACCTTTCAAGTGAACCTATAGTAGTTGGCCCGAGAAAGTTTACAACGGGCACTAGAACCGCCGCTCTTCCTGCTTTGTCAGTGATAGCGTTCAGCACAGGTCTGGCGTTTTTTTTTTCTTCTTTTAGGTGCGGAGCACATTAAGGGGCCATGCACGGCTGTCTTAAGCCGTCATCATTTGGCGTAGTGCAGGCAAAACCACACACACACGCAAAAAAATACGAAAAGCATATCGGAAGCAAGTGGCAAAAAAGGAGAAAAAGAAAGAAGAAAAATACAAAGAAGAATAGGGTAAAGAGCCAATAATAATGAAAAAAAAAACAATAAAAAAAAGAAGAAAAGAAAAAAACGAAGAGAAACAAACAAGACTTTTTCAGGTTTTGGCACCACCAGTTCAAATCTGCCTTAATTTTTTTAATATTACGTTCCTTTCAATGAGGTATTCATTAATTGCGCAACTGTACTTTCAGTTAAATATACTTAACGCTAAAGCCATCGGTTTCTCGGCATCAAGACAGAAAAAGTGTCGATGAATGGCATTAGATACGACAGAACTGCGATTTATAAAACTTCGAATGGATAGCCTTCGTCGCTCTAAGGTGCACTCGAACCGACAGAAGCAGTCCACAAGTACACGATCGTTTAGATTTTTGCTAAAAATTAAAAAAAAGCCATGCCTAATGTTTAATTTCGGTTCATGAGTTGTCGTGGCTGACTAGACGTTCGCCAAATGTGCGCGTGTGTAAGATGTAAAATGAAAAGTAAGGTTTCCTTCGTGAATTGAACTGTCGAGAGAAATTGATGCTTTTCGACGCCGGCGTGACGTGTGACTTACCTCAACGAGACCCTGGAGGATGCGGACAATCATGACCATCGTGAAGCCAATCTTGGCCGCTCCAGGAATGAGCATGTTGAGGAACGCTGACACTGCTATTGCGGTGCCAAAAACCCTGCGTAGTCGAGAAAAAAAAAAAACGTAATGGTAAGGAGCCAGTCGATCTTCGATCGAAATGTAGGGAGTGCGATTTCTCATGACACCTAATATTTCACTTGTCCGGCACCTTGACAAGTCCTCTCTCGTTGAACAATGCGGCACCGCAAACACTGAATTAATCAACTAGCCCAGAAGCCTGTTCTGCTTAACCACAAACAGTATTTAAGACATAAAGTGACTAGTGGAATGCGATACCAAGGCAGCTGGATAAAAACGTACCACGCGTGTGTTTCCGACCAATGGCCGTGGCGACACCATTCACAGAAATAAAAATGTTGTATCAATTAAAATATTAACAATAATTACGATACTCTCTAATGCAAAATGTGTGGGCAACTCGATGCGTGCATTCATTTGTTGATATAGTGTGGCCAAAAATTTACAAACATTTATGTGCGTACGGTTACTAAGTTCTTTCCTTTTAGCTTTGTTGCTTAAGTACTTGAAGGTATGTTTTAATTGTTGTTTTTGTTATTTGTTTCAATTTAATATTATATATCTTGAAATCCCCCCCCCCCCCCCTGTATTCTTTTTATACCGAAAGTTCTACAGTGGTCCAAGCGTTCTCAGCAACAGGAGCAGAACGTCACGTGACTGGAAGTGAGTGATCAGGGAGATCTTTTGTTGTACGGTCGGCTCACTTTCTTTTACTTAAAAGAATTTTTATTTTCGGGTAATGATAGGCCCTCCCGCGAAGAAAGATCCCGAGTTTAGTACGCGTAGAGACTCTGAATTAGCAATGAATGATTAATTCATTGATACATTCGGTTTAGAAAGCCCCAAAGTAATACAGAGTGCCTAGGCAAAAGAAGAGCGTCGTTTGACTCGAGGTACATGACACGGATCTTTCGTTGCTCTCACTTGACCGGTTCCGAGAACGCTGAACGAGAGACTACATACACTCAACCAAGAAACGGGCTAAGATATTCTCTCTAAACGAATGGCACGTTAAATATGTAACGGTGGTTGGCAAGCTCACTCGTGATTCCCCTCACTCGGACTCGCTCAGACCTAGAATGACCTTTGAGCCTGTTTCTGGGTAAGTTTGACCGTGAATATTTGTGACAAGTTTCCGTCTAAGTGAGCCTGGCTGAGGAAAACTTTGCTGAACCTGAGATTGAGTGAGAGCTAGCTGAGTGTAATTCTGGTCAGGTTTAGTTCAGTTACATCATGCTGAACGGATTTTGTGATAGTCTGAATACGAGTGAGCCTTACTATGTAGAGTTCTGGTGAACGTGACACCAAGGGAGTCCATGGCAGCAAAATTTACTCCCAGGGTTTCTGATGAATTTCGCCCTAGATCACTTGAAAGCAAAAGCAGTTTTCTTTTTGTTTCGTCCCAGTCGAGGTAGAGTTTTTTTTTTAATTAGAGTGTACTCTGGCACTGAGATCATTAAGTCACCATGGGAATGATGGGTAGTACATGGATTTGCCTATCATTCATGCTTGTCGGCTTCGAACGTATTTGTGGCTTTGTTTATTGCTGTCTTTTGCTTTTGTTTAGAACAAACCGATCGTTGTGAACTTCGTGAGTCGATTTGAATTGGTGAGCCCGAAATAGTTAAGGCGACGAAAGTTTGTGGAAAGACAGCTGAACGTTTGCGGAAACTCGTGGAAACTCGTCTTGCGAAAAAGCGGATTTAGGCCACACGGAGCCAAACGGAGTCGTAAGAATGAAGATGAGACAAATCCGTCTACTGCCCATCATTACCATGCTCGCTGAAGCGCCTTGCGTTGCATCTCCCATAGACACTAGGGCCAGAGCCTCATCTATTGTATTTTACGAAAAACTGTATGGGGTCGATTCTGTTCCGCTCAGCTCCGAAAGGTTTCTGCACTTCACCTGTTTTTCAGGGCCTCCGTTATCGGCACACATTTAAACGAGGAGCAACGACTTGTTAGTGACGTCATGGTGACAACACAAACTTTGGGTATTTGGAACGTCAGGTTGACGTCATATCAACGTGATTATATGATTACCTTTTTTTCATCACTCGTTGACACAAAGGTGAATCTTCACGTTTTATGAGGCATCTAAGTAAACATTTTGTGAGATAACACATTTACGTGTATTCTTTGCATTTACATGTCTGCGAGTTAATACATGTGAGTTAATACGCCTGAATACATTGCGTGAGTTAGTTTGAATAAACACTGCTTATTTTTCTGACACAAGGTTGAATATAAGTGGAGAAAGTGATGTAAGCAAATGCACAGGAGAGAGGATGCGATACCTCACCTGTTTGCTGGGTATTTGGCTGCGAGGAATCCTCCGGGCACCTGTGTGATGAGGTAGCCCCAGAAGAAAGACGAGTCGATCACGCCGATGGTCTCCGGAGACCAGTCGAACTCGGCCTTCTGCAGATCGATAAAGAAAGGGCGACAGACAGATTAAGCGAAGTTTCGTGTGTGTGTGTGTGTGTGTGTGTGGTGTGTGTGTGTGTGTGTGTGTGTGTGTGTGTGTGCGTGTGTGTGTGTGTGTGTGTGTGTGTGTGTGTGTGTGTGTGAAAGATTGAGGTATCCATGTTGGCGTGCCTTTCGCACCGTTTGATTAAATGAACAGCTTCGTGTTGGACATAGGGCAAACCGAGTGAGTGAATTATGAGAGTGAGAGAGAATGAGAAGCGGCAAGCAGTGATGCCAACAGGGAGAGCGTCCAGTCTATTGACCCAGTAGGTGGAAGCTGTGCGCAGCACCAATTAAGCTTCTAACTTTTATAACTATACATATATCCTCATACATGGGTCATTCACAAGTTCTGAGCTTTTGTAGTATAGCAGCTCTGCACAAGTGTGTAGTATGTGTAGCATAGGTGCTCTGATCTGATTGATTGATTGATTGATATGTGGGGTTTAACGTCCCAAAACCACCATATGATTATGAGAGACGCCGTAGTGGAGGGCTCGGGAAATTTCGACCACCCGGGGTTCTTTAACGTGCTAGAAGCTCTGCTTTCCCGTGCGTGTATTTTTATATTGTTGCGTAGCCACCTCCGAAATCCCACCGCTGCCACCACTGTTGCGAAAGACGGACCGATCCCACCGAAGCCACCACTGTTGCGTAGCGCCGGGCCTATCCCGCCGCTGACCTCCACTGTTGCGAACGACGGCCCGATCCCGCCGAAGCCACCACTGTTGCGAAAGACGGCGACGCCAACACGGCCCCGGAGGCGCCACTGCTTTCAACTCCGCCGGGAAGGTCACCAGCCGTTTGGTAGCGTATGTTTATCAGCTCGCGACTGCTTCTGCGCAGAGCTGATAAGACGAGCGGACGAGACGACGGTGAGTTAAACAAGGTTTATGTACAGCATATTTACAGAGGCGTTACAATTTCGGCACTGGGGCCGACAGAGACTCGAAGAGCCGAGCTCTTCTCTCTAACACATAGGTCAGTCTTTCGCCTAAGACCGCTGACTCACACACATGTCGGCACTCCGACACGGGGACGCCTCTCACATAGGACCTCCGATCGCGACGCGCCGCAGGGCTTCTTTTATTTACACCGGGTCCAACCAAAGTGTCCAATCAGAAGCGCCGCTGGTCGTCCGGGCAGATTCCGCCAATGGGGGTCGCCGCGCCATGCGTCAGACCACCCGACACGCGGCCGCCGGCTCGCTGTCACGTGCGCCGCTGACTCACTGCACCTGGGCCAGAGGGGCGCCGCGCGTGTTCACGCCGTCGAGGTGATCGCGCCAGGCAGACTGCGGGCTGGCCTTGACCCAGATTGCCTTTTTCAGAGGCACGGTCGTTTGACGAGGACTCGCTGGCATAACAGCACCCCCGCCGCCAGACAATGCACCGGAAAGACGAGCTGCTTCCACGGGGCTCGGATGTCAGGTGCGCTCGTTCGCCTGGTCCCTCCAGGTTCGCCTCCAGGGCCATGGGGAGAATACAGCTTCAGACTGTTCCGGGAACACATCCCATTTTTGACGACGGATCCCAGCTCCACTGGCTTGTCGCCACAACTTGCTGACCAGCTTCACTCGTCTCTTCTGACCATCTTCGGTTTCAGCAGTTGTCGATGGTTCTGCAACTTGCTAAGAACGGTTCGACCACAGACCACATACGACACAAGCAAGTGCCCTCGGTCACCCGACAGAACACCAGACAAAGTATAGTACAACATATACCTATCTACGTGTTTATCGGAATTTTGTTCCCTCTACATCAAGAGGCACATGTGGGACACAAGACTCTTAAAATGACAACTCCATTTTTTTTTCCCACGTACAACAACGTAACGAATTAGAATACCACAAAGTTGGCCCCTTGAGATCACTCTGAACGAGAGCGCTCAGCCCAGGTCGTGATGAGGTCAAAATTTTGCCCCGAATCGCCAGCCAGAAACCGAAAGGTTGAGAATTTACTAGCTGGAACGCACTGCTCAATGCACCTGCATTAGCGTTTACCTTTCATTTATATATTTTTTTTTTTGATAGCGAACGTCAAAGTTGCGCTGTGGAGCAACCTGCTCCGCTTCAGTAACCGGCCACTTTTAGGCGACGATACCTATGCGGCACCAAGAGCGGCTCACACTTTCGACGTTGCACAGGGGAACAACGATACGGCTTGCTACGGATTGACTCCTCACCGCTTAGCTCGATATCGTGTTCGATCACCCTCGTGTTTCCGGGGCGGTCCGAAAACACGTCTCCAAACTCGGAACCAATCTTTCTTTGGTCCTCTTTCTCAGGTCCTCCTTCACTTAAGCTAGGCTCCAGGTTTAACTGTTCCCGGATTACTTTCGATCCCCCTTCAATTACCTCACTAGAACTCAAAATTTCTGCTTCCTCTTCCTTTGAAGCATTCAACAACAGATTTACGACCGCTTGATGTTGAACGTATGGTTTCATGAAGTTGTAAATTTTGTCCGGCCGCCTTCCTAATTTCACTTCATAGTTTGTATCGCAAGGCTTCGATAATGCTTTGGCAGGCCCTTCCCAATCAACCTCAAGCTTGTTCCTTTTGGATGGCTGCAGCCGCATTACCTGATTATCAACTTCAAAAGCGCGCTTCTTCCCCGATTTCTCGTAGTGCTCCTTCGACAGCACTTCTGCCGCGTTTTTCTGGCTTTCCACTCGCGCTTCAATTTGGCTTTCCACTAGCGCTTCAATCGAGAGATCCTCACTCTGCCCTCGAATGAGCGTCTCTCGATCAACTCTCGGCAGCTCGCTCCAACTTTCCGCTACAGGCGAGAGCGTTGCAACCCTCTCGCTCTGACTCAATGGCGCCACGTCGTCTCCCCCAGCGCATACCGCGCCGGCCGCTCCCGCGATGGGCCGCTCGCGTGACTGCTCACATGACTCATGCGGAAAATTTCCTTTCTGGGGTTCCGTCGACCCGCCGACAAGGTCACTGAGAGTTCACCGCATGGAACCAAGTCAAGCTTCCGCGAAAGCTTCCGCGCTTGCGATCGCGTGAGAGCCATGCACGCTAAGTTGGGGAAGAACGATTTGCCCTGCTCTTTGAGAAGCTGCTCCGAGTTGTTGGAGAAAAGATAAGAAAAACGACCATTCAGCGCGGCAGACACAGCCGCTTCGGTGCAAAGCTTACCGAACGGGCCTTCAATGACAACGGTGGCGATTGGTAAGCGAACACTCTGCTCCTCGGCGACTTGCCTGATCCACGCGCATTCTCCTGTGAAGTCATCCGGAGACACCAATGAAGGATGGACAACGTCCATGGTTGCCGCTGAGTCTCTAAGTGCTCGGCACGTTTTCTCATTGACCCTAATTTCTTGGAGATACGGCTCCAACAACCGCATGTTTTTTTCTGATTCTCGGATCGTTGCGAAGGCAAACTTTTCCTGACAGTTTCTCGCGATGTGCCCTTCCTTTTTACAGTTGTAGCAGATTAGCGGCTTCCGTTTGTTTTCCGGTTCTAATGCCTGTGTGGTAGAAACCTCACTCGATTTCTCCGCTTCTGTTTGCCCTTCCCCTACACTGTCCTTCGTAAGAGACGGGTCCTTCTTGAAATTACGGTGCGGAGCGGGTTTCCGTTGATCAGGTTTCTTTGAAAAGCCTTCTTTTCTCTCATACTTTTCAACGCGCACTGCCCTGCTGTGCAACTTTCGACGAGTATAATACTCCTCAGCTAACTCTGCTGCCTTGTTTAGCTGTACTTCACCAAGTCTGTCCTGCAGCCAAAGCCTGACATTATCCTCGATGCAGCGGTAGAATTGCTCCAATGCAACGCATTCCACCACTTTATCGCGGTCGTCATAAACACCTTCGCCCTTGAGCCATTCAATTAAATCGGCTTTAAGACGAAACGCGAAGTCAACGTGTGACTCATTCCCTTTTCAGCATACCGGAACCTTCGCCTGAAAGCCTCAGGTGACAACTTATAACGTCTCAAGAGCACTTCCTTAACCTCGTCATAGCTCTCAAACGCTTCCCTAGACAAGCAAGTTATCGCGTCGGACACTTCGCCGGGAAGAAGAGCTAACAGGTTCTGCGCCCAAAGAGACCGCTCCAAAGCATTTCGCTCACAGACGTGTTCAAACTCGACGAGATACTTCGCCATGTCCTCGCCTACTACGAACGGTGGCAGTTGATCCCGAATTATAATACTGCTGACCTGAATCGTCGGAGAAGCTGCGCTAGGCGCCTGCGAACACTGTAGGATTGCCAATTCTATTCGTTTCATCTCGAGGCGCTCCTGTCTCTCGGCCTCCTCGCGCTCGCGACGTTCGCGCCTTTCAGCTTCTTCACGTTCGCGAGCTTCTCGCCTTTCAGCCTCTTCACGTTCGCGAGCTTCTCGCCTTTCTTCACGTTCGCGAGCTTCGCGCCTTTCCTCACGTTCGCGAGCTTCGCGCCTTTCAGCCTCCTCACGTTCGCGAGCTTCTACTTCTCGCCTTTCAGCCTCCTCACGGCGTGCTTTGATATCCACCCAGGCCTCATCGACTTCCTCAGCCGACACTCCCTCATCCTTCATGATCTCAAGGATCGCTTGCTTTCGTTTCGCACGGCCCAAAGTAATGCCGAGTTCCTCACAAATTTCGATGAGTTCCTTCACTTTAAGGTTCTCCATCGTTCACACTAGCCTCTTGCTGTTTGCCCCTGTTAATAATCTACTTGCCGTACCCACTATAAGCCTACTAGCAAGACGCGCAAGCAATTTTTCACACTCCCGTGTTTACCCCCTCCGCATTAACTTTGGTTTCAAAGCGCTTCGACTTGGCTTGAAACTATCAAAGCTCACTTCAATGCTTCACACAGCCCTTCTCTAAACTACTACAACCTGAGCTAGAGTAGTCTGGTGAACTGAGGGGAAAACATCAGGCACTCACCGCATCGATGTCGCTGACGCCGGCCGATCCCGCAGCTGCCAACCACTGTTGCGTAGCGCCGGGCCTAT